GCACCCACAAACCAGATACCGACACTAACACCCACACTCACAGGTTTGACAACGACATGTACGCGCACCTCAACAACGCAGTGTACACGCACTTGTTCGACACAATCGCGAACACGTACCTAATCCAGCACTGCGGGATGGACCCCTTCAGCGTGAACAACCCAACCCCAGCGCCGGCCCACGGCCAGCCCTCCAATTTCCCCTCCCCATCGAACCTAGCAGCTGGCGCCGACCAAATAGGTCTGATCGTCTCGACGCACGCCGACTTCTTCGCCTCGGTTCGCTTCCCGGATCTGCTGGAGGTCGGGCTGCGTGTTAATAGGCTTAGCAAGTCTAGCGTTACCTGGGAAGTGGGTATTTTCCGTAAGGGTGAGGAGGATGTTAAGATGGTTGGAACGTATACGCATGTTTTTGTGTTGAGGGAGACTATGCGGGTTGGGAAGACGGGGATGGAGGAGCGGACTAGGCGGGGCTTGGAGAAGTTGCTTGTTAAGGCTGAGGCGAAATTGTGAGGGGGATTAGAATGTAAATATTGGGCGCGGGGCTGCGCTTGTACATAGTTATCGGAATATAGGTAGCCCCTTGCATTCCAAAGCAGTCAGTCGTGTAATTTTCGAGTTATTGTTGAGAGGAATTCTAGACTTGAGTTTGATCAAATGATTCCTTTAGGAATTCGAGAGAAACAAGCGAGATATATCAAGACGCCTTATCTCGATTGGTATGGTATTGATCGTCTTGGGAATGTAAGACGCCGATGTGAAGGAAAGAAAAAAACGTGCGCCGTGCAGATCAAGCTCTCAAAAACCCCCGAGTCATTAAAAGTCTAATCTAACTTGAGAACAAAAAGCAACCGAAAACATATCCATCGCCGTGACATAAGTACCGAAACCAAGAAAACTTTTGTGGGTTATCATAAGAATGAAAAGAGACACGCTAAATCGCTTTGCAATATCGAAAAAGCGCTAACAGAATGGGAATACATGTATGATGGAATTTCCGATCATCATTAGAAGGATTGTCATCTGACAACCTTGAGAGTTGTGGTTTGAAGAGACGAGCTGCTCAGTCAAATTTGCCAGCGATGATACTGCTGCAACGGGACACGTTCGCACTGGTAGGAGGCGAAGCACCGCGGTGCATGGTGTATCCATCTTCATCGAGCCACCACATGGGGTAAGGGCCAAGAATGAAGTTGCCCTGAGCGTCCCAGCCAGCGACCCAGTGAATGCCGTCGTCGAGGAGGAAAAAGCGCAGCTTTTCAGGACGGCCACCCTTGTGCAGCGGGGCGTCGAACCAGCGGCAGCGTTCCTCCAATTCGGATTCGAACATGTAACGGTGGAGGATGCGGCAGTAGACTAGCGCAGCAGGGACTTTTTCATCGTCTTCGCACCCATCCCGATGGATGAGGTGCCATCCGCGACCCGGGAGGAACTTGTATGTTCCCGGGACGGGGGATTCCCAGTGTTGTTCTTTGAGATTGCTGTTGCGATCGCCCTTCTGGAACCAGTAGGTAGGGCAGAAGATGGTGCGCGCACAGATGAAGAGGTTGGGTGCCATGACGGAGGATGGTATCAAGATCAAAAAAGGGTATGTGCAAGGATGACCTGTCCACGAAAATCGGGGGAGAAGTCCAAGTTGATATAGAAACAGCACTGAAATACAAAGAATATCAAGGGCTAGAGCGGGCTATAAGTCGACAGCCATGGCGAAAAAATAATAAAAAATCAGTCGAGATCCAAGTTGAGATAGGGATTTGACGGGTCTTTCGCATCCACAAAAGCACGGTGAAGGACCCTGAGGACCTTTTTTAGGAGACAAAGAATGTGGAACGACAAGTACGATTGGCACGGGGTTGTGATCTGAGGCAAGGACTGGCTGGGGATGTCAATTCAAACAGCACTGGCCAGACAGCAGGGTGTGTTTGTTATCGATGCGGTGAGTAGGGGTTGTCGTGTTTTAAGTCGGGAAAAGGGGTTGTGATAAGCTTGCAGTTTTGAACCTCAGAAGGAACAGCTTTGTCCTTGATAACGGGAAATGAGGAAGGTGGGTGAAAGGCGAATAGGGAGTGTTGAAAAGAGCTCGGACTCGCAGCAATCGGCAAGATGCAGTAGCACGCACACGCACGGCCGGCCGGTGTTAGAGCTCAACGAGAGCGTGTGCTATAAATCGGGCATTTAACTGGAGGAATTTCGCCATGGTGATTTGAAGAAGGTATATATATATAAAAAGAAGAAATTAAGAATGTGTGTTATATATTTGGCGGTCAGATGTGGAACAAGAGAAAAGTCTAACAACCCGTTCCTTAGTTGCCTGGCCCCAGCAGGTTAAGCCACAATTGGGTAGCTCTAGACTTCTCGGGACTTTCCCGCATTTGCCCGCAGCCTTCGAGTGGCTGAAATGGCTGAAAATGTGGATTACCTAACCGCTGACTTGAGAGATTTTCACGTGGCGGGACCTGCCGAGCCTTGGCAGTCTCGTCATTTGACCCGACTTTTTTTTCCCTCTCCCCTTATTGTCCTGTTTAGGGCTGATCCCTTTACTTTTCAGCGTCATAATTGCCCGGTCCACGGGTTCCGCGGGAACCTTTCGACTCCCTCTGACTCAATATTGTAAAGCTCCGTAAAGCCTCGATCACTTGGCACACCTTCCCGGCGGGAAGTTTCTCAGGCTGCAGAATTCCTCGTGGCGGTAGCTCTCGGGGTTCAGCCCTATGCTATTTTTCCTCGGCTTTGTCCCAGCTTGCAATTTTATTGTAGCCTGGTCTATTTGAAAATGATTGTTTAGTCCCTCATTCCGCAATAGAGCATTGTTTACACGGCCTGAGATTGTTTGTGACATATTAGCCTTGCTATGAATGGCTGCATGCCGCACAGTTACAAGTTCATCACTACCCAGGCTTGAGATATCCCGGTCCATGCATAATCACAATCCTGACTGACATGTCAACAAACTAGAAATCATTGCTTTGCCACCTGGCCAAGTGCATCGTATCGTGGCTAAAGCCGAGCGCTAAGCAAATCCTTGCCAAATTTACATCACGCACGGCGGTTATTATAATAGAAACCGTTTGGTAATAATTGGAGGGGGGAAACGATTGTTTCACATCATTAGTCTAGTGCTAACCCATCGATGCAATACAAGAATAGTGGGCCGCTTATGCGGCGTAGTCACGTCCTTTTTGGTCCTCCGTAGTCATTTTAGATGTCTTCCTTTTCTATATATATTCCCTTTCCCCAACCCTACCACCTACCATTCTCAGTTTTATAGCCAGACGGTAGAAAATGCGAAAGAAAGGTGTAAACCGGACTCTCGTACATTGGCCTCATGTTGCTGGCTCACTTGGACTCCCATTTCCCCTTTCCTTCCTTAAACCTCTTGACCTGGAAATATTTAGTATAGTGGCCTGGGGGTTGCGGCGTAGGTTGAAGATTCACTTTGGTCGGCCTTTTTGAGAGTGAAGACTGACGGGTGTGGTCTACATCTTTATGGAGGAGGAAGCAAGAAAGTAACATTCTATCAATTGTGTCATAGTATCTAGGCAAGCCGACGATGTCAAGGTAATTTATCTCCGGTGGGGGCTCGACTGCGAATGGTGTAAAATCCAGGACCTCGGTGAACTGACCTCAACCTACCATCGAAGTAAGCATAGAGTAGGCGGCAATGCCCATACAAGTCATGTAGTCGGACCATTCTCTAAGACATATTATTAGTGATTTTGTCTGTAAATTGATATGAGCGCTGCAATCTGGTAATATATGATGAAAAGTTGCCAGGCTTTGGTCATGGGCCATGCTTCGTAGTTCCTTCCTGTGTGCCCTCATTGCATCTGGGATTTCATCGTCCACAGCAACCACTTTACTGACTGAAGGTAGTTCCTCATGGCAATTGAAGATGGTAACCTTGGCCACGCAATGACTCGGAGACTGTTCACTGAAGATGGAATACAATGGCCAAGAAAGGGAACTATTTTTCCTTCTCCTCGATATCGGTCGTATATCTGGCTTCGCGCTCAAAAAGATGACCAGGCCAATGACCAAGCCCTGGCACGTGTTCCATACTAAAGGCTCTTAAATAATTCCCATTGATATTATAGCGTGTAGCAAAGGACACTAACCTGTCTCTCACCCAACCATGGTGTAATTCTGGAATTGTAAATGAGTTATTAGTTATAAGTGCATAGCCCTGAAGCGGGTTAGGGCTCAGTATAAGGGTCAACTTACTTCGAGTCGAAAATATCGTGTAGATCTCTGTTCATCCAAGAAGCGTAATTATCGTGTGTTAATTTAGGGCCGATGGAAAGAGTCTATCTAGGATAGATAAGTCGAATTTTCCCCCGTAACGGTCCCGTCCCGCGTCGACGATTTCGTCTTTGAGATCCCATTCATGTCACGACAACTAGGAAATGATGTGCGTGGAAGAAAGTAAGGAGTCACTAAATCGGATGTCGCACCGGTATCAATACCCAAGTGATGAAAATTGATATTGAGATGCTCAATCATCTCGTACGTGAGAATTGCCCTCCAAGTTCCAAAGGGAGATCTGGATTCATGAATCTCCTCTAGGTTCACGGTAGCGACTTTCGAGCTGAATGTATAAGGCACCATTTTTTGCGCAGCGCTGATTCATCAAAGGTCGGTGTACTAAGGGAAAGCGATGCTAGATGGAAATGTGAGATTGTTTGAAAGGCAAGATGGAGGCTCCTGAACATACTTACATCCTCGTCATGCTTTATCGAAATAGGCTTAGTATGTAGTCTGTGGGTAACCCTTCCCAGGTTTACACAAATAATGTTCCTATAATATTAACGTCTCCGTGGGGAAACTGGAATATTTTGTTTTAATGATATGCTTGGGCCCCTTGTATGACTTCACAGAAGATTCGAACAGTTATCACACCTGAGCCCTATCCACCGAGTTTAACCTAGATTTTCCACCCTTCGCCGTGCCTCCACTTAATGAACCTCAACACAATGAAAAGAGCCGCACCAGTCACGACCGTCATAGCAGTGAAAAGTTGCGCCTTCCAAAAGACAGCATGCTCCAGATCCAACAAAGCGCCCGCAATGGGGTTACCAATCAGCAGCCCCAAGCCAGCAAAGGTAAAGCACATTCCCATTCGGGTCCCCACAATACTCATATTCGGGGTTATCTTCGCGACGATAGTCGGGGGTAATGAGACAATTGCACCAGATGCATACCCGTAGATTATAGCGAAGACGATAGTTCCAGCCTGGTTCCTGATGCCTATCCACGCGAAAGCTAAGACAGTAGCTATCAAGCTAATTGGGACGATGGTGTTGAGGGAGCCGATACGATCGGCGAGTAGGCCGGGCGTGATGCGGCCAAACACGGAGGCAGCGTTGAGAATTGCGACGCTGTAGAAGGCAATGTTTTCGTTCGAATGGAGGTAGGTTGTGAAGAAGGTGGGAAGGTAAAAGAAGGGGAAGTATAAGCCAATAAAGGCGAAAAACAGTGCCAGACTGAGCACAATAAAGGGCGATTCTTTGAATGCGCTCGTGTCGATGAGCTTTCGCGTCTGCTTCGGAGGTGGCAGGCGCATTTTCATCACGGCTAGAGAAAATAGTAGTCCGCCGAGGGCAATAAACGCGATGACACGGGTCGTCCAGCCGAAACCAAGAGGGCCAATCAGCTTATGAAACACGACAGGGAAAATCACCGAGCCTTAGTTCCAGTGTTAGCCAATGATTCTCTTCTTCGGTTATTCGATACTTACCGATGCTACCTCCAGAAGCGGTTATGCCTGTGGCCACTGCTCTCCGCGATGTAAAGTAGGTGGCCACGATAGCGACACTAGGAAGGAACAAAAATGCGCAACCAGTTCCCACAGCGACACCATGGGCTAAGAAGATCTGGTAATATTCGGTTGACAAGGATGTCATCATCAGACCAAATACAACTAGGAATGAGCCAATAGCGATGAGGGTCTTCAGATAGCCCTTGTCGAAAACGGGGCCGACAACCACTCCAACGATGAAGAGCAGAAATCCTTGTATCGTACCAATCCAAGAGATTGAGGATGCGGAGTACCCAGGGAGAAGAGTCTCCTCATAGTAGCTCTGGTAGACGCCGAATGTGTTGACAATGCCCCTAGTATTGATTGTGTTAGCTCATTGAACGATGAAATTTGAATGTCAGATGTCAAGCTGGAGCTCACCAAGAATTGAAAAACAGGAAGAAAGCACCCGCTACCTGAAGCCATGCTGTAAGTCCTCCATTTGGCGGAGGGGGAGGTATCGCTGGTTGATCGGCTACCTGTTTTTCTGACTCGGATTCAGATTCGACAGGTAGTGACGCAGGAGGGTGTTGCGGAGGGAGTTGCTTGTCCATTTGAGAAGACATGGTGGAAATATGAAGTGATTCCAAAGGTTTGTCTCAAAGGACCTTGGGACTAGGAACGGGGAATGCAGTTAATTTGTCTGATGCCAAAATGTTTCTAGTGACTAGGAGCCTCAAATATAAATATATGAGACTGTAGAGTACAGTCGAGCTCGGCCTTTCGGCCTTTTCTCACTTGGAGAGCATTTGTAATAATGCAGGGGTATGGCTTCATTCACTTTCTCTACAGGTCGGGTTCGACCCACAAATATGTGGAGCTTAAGAAAGGAACTAAGCTTTGGATCTCCCCGAAGAACAAATGATCATCCAAGAAGACGACATCCAAGCAATCCCAAGGATTTCAACTGCAGCGTCGCATCAAGGAACTTTCGTATTGCATCATTTCCGTTGCGGGTAAGGTAAGCCGAGTCTAGAGGCGGCCTGCAAATTTATGAATACGAGACGGCCCCAGTTTGTTGCATGGGGAATCTTGACTGGCTTTCGCTAACGCCAAGTGCGAAAATCGCTGGACTATCCTAAGGAGACTTTCACGATCGCCTCAGCTTCCTCTTACATAATTGCATCAGTTGCCCATGTGGGTTAAGCATGGACCCTGATTGAATCTCGTATCTAAAAATATCTAAAACGATCTACATATGTAGCGAGTAGATTGGAAAACTGTAGAAATGTATAGACACATGTTATGTTGTAGGAAAAGAGAACACAGTCTACTAGAGAGCAGTCATGTGATCGTATGCAAAATCTATTCAATTTTGATCTGACACTTGGCACTAAAAGCTTTTTCATGCACAAGCATTGAAAGGCGGCCCGAGCCACCAAGGTCCGCCTACTTCGTGTTCGTGATGAGTATCGCGCGAGTCCGTCAGATCAAAATTTTGATTGCCGGTTACTCAAACACGAAGACGGTCTTCCGTCCCCCGATCACCCCATCATGGGCCCGCTGGATCGAATCACAAAGCGATTCCTCCAAGCCTTTTGCCCCACGTTTCCAGGTCACGTACTCTAGCGCTGGTGCCTTCAGGGTCCCACGAGCCAATAACTCTGCAAACCACTCAAAAAGCGCCACCTGCTGCGGCGGTGCCCGTCGGCTGAGACAATCACTCAGTCGGAAGGATTTGAGCGTAATATTACGCTGCCACAGGAACTGACGGAGATTTCCCCCCTGCGATTCAGCCGTGCCAAGGAATCCAGCTGTTACAAGCGTGCCGCCTGGGATGAGGGATGCTGCCATGTTTCGGGCCAGTGAATCGTCCGAGACTGAGTCAATTGCCAACACGATCCTTTTTCCCGCCAAGGCGTCGGTCGTACGGAGCTCTTCTTCCGTGAGGACCAAGGATGCACCGTGCGAGCGCAGTGAGCGTTTAGTGCGCTCTAGCTCATCGGCTGTGGATCGCTCACGGATCACGCTAACGACTCGGATGCCATACAGCGGGGCCAGTTGACTGACGAAATGACTGATAGTTCCGGTGCCCGCGTTTTGGATGATCCAGTCTCCAGGATCGAGGCTGTGGTATTCCCTCAACAGGAAATAGGCTGGGGCGATGCCCATGCGCAGAATCGAGGCAAGGTGCGGCTTGACGGTGGACGGAATACGAATGAGATCGTCTTCGCCAAACACCGCATGTGTCCTCCATGTGCCTTCGCAGTGGGTCCGAAGAATAACGAGATCATCAACGGCCAAGTTGGTGACGGCAGAACCGACTTGGACAATACGAGCTGCCCCATCGGAGCCTGGAATTGCCCGCTGCTCGCCACCCTGGCCCATGATCGTGCTCTTGGGTTTGATAGGGTACTTTCCATGAATCACGAGAAAGTCCAACGGGTTGACCGGGGCCGCGAGGAACTCAACGACGACTTGTCCCGCTCCACAAGTGGGCACGGCTTGCGTGACAAGGTGCATTCCGTCGATTGGTTTGGGGGCGCCATAAGTGAAGACGAGGGATTCGGCCATTGTGACGTCAAAACCTGGATTCGTGTTGGATTGATGGAGGCAGAAGGTCTAGATGATCGGTGATGCCGTCCTTTGCATTCGTCCGGATCGGACTTTTTATAGCCTCGTCAATACGATCAAAAAATCCCTCATTGCCAGGCCGCAGCTCCATTACCGTTGCACAAGATCCGCTCCGCGTTACGCAAGATCTGACATGCATGAGGTGGATCTAGGAACCACCGAGAAAGCCTAGAAGCTTGATTGTATAAGCCTTCGAGGGAAGAATAGCCGAGGTCAGAGCGGTACGAGACGCTGAGGACCAATTCTAGCCCATACACCCATGTGCGAGGTCCATTGGCTAATGCATGAATCTCGCGTCCCTCGTTGGATGGGATCCCATTGGGGAAATGACTCGCATCTGCAACATGTCAGCGCAGAACTAGATTGGGACCTGAAACTCAATATTCCACCTATACAGGCTAGTCAACAAAGCCTCGCCAATTGCACTACCACCTTGGATCACTAGGCACAGGCAACACCGAGTATTGGGGCGGAATTCATGCATCATGGATGGCGTTGTTTAGGCCCCCGGGTCCTCTTTGCCTTCGTATACGAGACATTCTTCGCAGGTCAAGTCTACTTTTGGAAAATGACCGTATATTGCGCCTTCAGGAGTGGATAGACAGGATTCGAGGGCTTTTACGACGTGAGGTCCGTGTATATTGTCACGAAGACAGTAGAATAGCACCGGCTTGGTCTATAAGTATCTGTTCAAGCAGTAGATCCTCAGCATCAAAAGTGTCTTCTGTCTTCATTTTTCTCATACTCAGGTTGAAGAATTGGCATCCATTGCTGAAGGATATCATCATGGCTCCAATTGCTTCCAAGCACCTTATACCCAGCCATCCTTTGCACAGTCCTGCCACAAGCCTCAAACAAAAAGTCACGAACGTGACACAAGCCCAGGCTACCTCAAGCCCGCCATCAGCGCCTTGCCTGGTTACGGATCTCATTCGATACCAGGTGGAAACAAATCCGGAAGCTTTTGCCGTTCACATTGAACATGAGGAACCTTATACATATCACGAGCTATGGCAGATTGTTGAACAAGTTGCCCTCAATGCCAGATTCGAATCAGGATCCATTGTCCCAGTATGCCTCGATCCCACTATAGAATTTGTGGCAGGCCTTCTGGCCATTATGGTTTCTGGTGCAGCATACGTTGTTCTTGATCCCGAGGGTTCTCCCGAGCGTAACCGAGCTATCGTCGCCGATACTGGTGCAGATTCAGTTCTGTCAAACCACAAATACAACTATTTGTTTGAAAAAGCTATCTCGGTGGAGGATCTTCTGTCTATGAATGAGGCAGTTGAAGGATATTTCATTATCCCGCCACATGTTCCTGGCCCAAGTCCATCGGATCTTGCATATCTGATCTACACTTCTGGTAAGTGATGGTCTAAAACATATCGATTAGAATTCCTGAAATTGATGGGGGGAAAAAGCTAATACACTGTTCAGGCTCTACCGGGACACCAAAAGGAGTTTTACTGAGCCACCGTTCAGCAAGCCATGGAATCAGTCAATTCGAGCTCAACGGCCGCAGGCGGTGGTTGCTCTTTTATAATCCTGTGTTCTCCGCAGCCCAAAGAACTATCCTCGCCACACTGTCAAAGGGTGCCTGTCTCTGCTTGGCGCGCCGCGAGCGTCTAGCAACAGCATTGCCCGAGGTGCTTGCCAACCTCCAAGTTGATGCTCTTGGCATCACTCCATCGGCACTGTCTCTACTTTCTCCCAGTGAGATTCCGGAGAGCCTTGAGCAGATAACAACTGTCGGCGAGCCCTTGAACCAAGCTCTCGTTGATTTATGGGCGGATGAAGTTCACCTGCGTGTCTCGTATGGTCTCAGTGAATGCGCCCAGTTGAACTTTTCTCGGCGATTGAAGCCTGGTGATAACCCTCGCAACCCGGGCCGGCCAGTGGATACTACCACTGCTATCATCCTGGAGCCTAATACAGCAACACAATTGGCAGTTGATGAGCCTGGTGAATTGTGCCTCTTTGGGCCTCAGGTTGCCAGCGGCTATCATCAACGCCCGAAAGAGACTAGTGCCGGTTTTGTCAAGAACCCTTTCGGTTCCAACATTCTTTTTAGAACGGGTGACCAAGCTGTTCGTCGCGCTGACGGGACTTTCGAGATTCTCGGAAGACTTGATCACCAAATCAAAGTTCATGGCCAGCGAATCGAGCCTCAAGAAGTGGCAGAGGCACTCTCAACCGTGAGAGGTGTCGCTGAAGTTGTATGCGTTGGCGCAACCATTAAAGATAAGGTTTCCCTCGTTGCTGCAGTCGTATCAAATACCCAAGATAGTTGGGTCGATCTTGTGAAAAACCTGCGAGAACATGCACAGCGATCATTCCCACCATACATGGTCCCAAGCTACTGGCTTCGCTGCGATGAATTGCCAGTTAATCGAAATGGCAAGGTCGACTTCAAAACCATCCGGACGACAGCCGAATCAACAGACATTGACAATCTTCTGGGTCGTGACCACAATCCCAATGGACGGGAGTTTCATTTGAGCCCAATTGCTCTTGAGATCGCTGAAGTCTGGGCCGGATTCTTGCATCTCAGCCGCTCATCTATTCTTCCCACCGATTCTTTTGTCGCCTTGGGTGGAAGTTCAATTGACGCCATACAAGCAATTCGTGAGCTCCGCACAAAGGGCATCCAAGTTGACCTTGCGGACATGCTGAGATCGCAGAGCTTGGAGAGTGTTGCTGATTCCTCCCGGCTGGATCCCAAAGGAGAGAGCCAGCCTCATGCTCCTCAGCCGTTTGCCTTTGTATCAGACATAGACGTCAAGGCTGAGCTTCAGGCTGATCGTGGCGTAGCTGATGCTTTGCCTCTCACTACCTTGCAAGAAGGTATTCTTGCCAGCACAATACAAGGTTACCAAGACTATCTATATCAGAGGGTCTTTGATATCCGACATCTTGACCTGGTCAGATTGCAGCTTGCTTTTCAAATTGTGTTTTGGCGCAGCGAAACACTCCGGTCTACCTTCGTTCCGGCTACCACAGGCTTACTGCAAGTCATCCGGAATGACTTCCTCCTTCCTTGGACAGAGGTTTCTGGTAGCCTGGAAAATTTCCTCAAGGCTGACAAAGAAAAAGGTGTCACCCTGGGTGAGCCTTTCATGAGAGTAGCAGTGCTCAACAACTCTGTACTCATCTTGTCCGTTCATCACGCACTGTTCGACTTCTGGTCGCATTCATTCGTCTTCGAGGATGTTGCACGTGTTTACCATGGCAAAAGTCCCGAGGCTCGCGCTTCATGGAAGTCCTTCATTGGGCTGTTACAGAAACAGGGAGGGAGAAACTCGACTGACTTCTGGAGACAGCATCTCCAGGAATCGACACCTACGATCCTCAACCATTCTCCAATCGGAGAGTTCTTCACCGCCACACGGACTCTTCCTCTGAATTTGAAGTCCGCATCCACGGCCCTTCAAGTTCCATCCAGTGCTATCTTATATGCTGCCTGGGCTCTAGTGCTCTCGTCTCATACGGCGTCAAACATGGTTACTATGGCTACGGCTATTTCGGGTCGGGAGCTGCCATTGAAAGGAATTGAGACTCTGGACGGTCCAACTCTCGCCATGGTACCACAAGCAGTGCTTGTCAACCCCGAACATTCACTGGACCAACTCGTGCAATCCGTCAATTCCAACCTCTGGGATCTCATCAAGAACTCGCAACAGGGAGTGCGAGGCGCTTTGGCAGCCGCTGGACATCAGAATTCCACTCTCTTTGATACCATGGTGAACATACTGCCCCTTGGACAAGACAGCAGTGACCTGACGAGGGAGGTATTCCAGATGCATGGGGCCAGGCCTGTGTGGAAAACGGAGTATACCACGTTGAACATTGAGGAGAGTTCCCGAGGGATCGAGATTAGCCTCACAGCTCCCATGGAGCAGCGTCGCCTCACTTTTATCTTGCAACAATTCTGTCATGTCGTTGAGACAATTTTTAGCAACCCACGACTACCAATCAAATCCTTTAGTCTCCTGGAATCGGAAGAGTTGGACTTCCTGCTTCAATGGAACGACGAGCAGCCGCAGCCCACCACTCTTCATGATCAGTTTGAATTGGCCGCTCAGAAACACTCCTCCAGGGTGGCTATCAACTTCCAGAATGAGCAGCTTCTGACATACGCTGAATTGAACGAAAGAGCCAACCGCATGGCCAACTTCCTCTCGGAGCGCGGCGTCACGACAGGAGATCGTGTTCCTCTGCTACTGGAGAAATCACCGTTCATGATCATCGCAATTCTGGCACTCTTCAAGCTCGGTGCCGCCTATGTCCCATTGAGCCCCGAAAATCCTGTCGAGCGCAATGAGTTTATCGTGCGCGATGTCGGCGCCCGTGTTGTTCTTACGGAGACAGAACATGCTACATTCTTTTCCTTCGAGGACATCTCCCTTCTTTCAATTGATAAAGCTAAGCTCTGTGCATATTCAATGGAGAAACCCGAAATGGAAGTCTCGCCTAATGACCCCGCTTACATTCTCTATACTTCAGGCAGTACAGGTCAGCCAAAAGGAGTAACGGTGTCCCATGGAGCATGCGCTGCTGCAATGGGATCAATTATCGATTTTGAGAACAAGCGTGATGAGACTTTTAGAGCTTTACAGTTCTCTAACTACGTGTTTGATGTCTCGCTGTATGACTTCTTCGTCACATTGCACAGCGGTGGAACTCTCTGCATTGCTCCGTCGGATCGCCTGCTCGGCGATTTGGCTGGAGCCATCAATGAGATGAACGTTAACCATATCTTCTTGACTCCGACCGTTGCCCGCCTTCTGGACCCCAAAGACGTCCCAGGCTTGCAGTCAATGACTGTTGGAGGCGAGCAGTTGACGCGCGATGTGATCGAGACCTGGGCTCCAGTGTTAACCCTGCGCAATGGTTATGGGCCCACAGAAGCTTCGGTTCTGGTTACCATGAAAGAGGTC